CTATGACGTTTCCAAGGGTCTTAGAAATCAAGAATGGAGAAAGCTTGGCTAGTGGTTTTTCATCTTGCTCCAAGTGCATCACCAGAAAACGCGTAAAGGTTTTCTGAACTGTAAATGGCTTTAGAGGCAATGTTACTTCGCTCCGACTCAGTCTTTTTAGAAGTCAATCAGGTTCTGTAGCATGTTTCAAACCAATAAGAATGGGAAGGTTTTCAGAATCTGTGGCGCACTGCCCACCACCGAGCCCAAAAAGAGGATATAGCAAATGTGCCATAACAAGAATGGCTTGGCTGGTACAATTACACTGCCAGTGTTACCAAAAAGCTATAACCGAGCGTGGGTCTAGAGAGAGTTCCGTCACCACCCAAGGTTAGATCTTGCCACCAAAGAAGGTGAAAGAGGAAAGGAGGGCAGAAAGGGAGAAAACACAAAGGTAAGAGAGGAGAAGAAAGGCAACTGACTGAATCATCCTGGTCGGGCCAAACCACGACACCCTTCCATGAGACGAACGGGCCGAAGCTATACATTGCCTCGCCTGGGGGGCCCCAAAGGGTTCAACGTACCTTGGGCTCAGCTCAACCACCAGAATCCCCTTTTCCCCAGACACAGGTTAAGCCACGCACACCCAGGCATAGCTGGGTGAATCCACATGGCTCGGGGCAGGCACGTAGCCAGGGGGGGGCATGGCCCGGCCCCCTCCCGAACCCCCCACCCCCGAAATCTTCCATTTTGCTGGAACCTCCTCTCCCCCCTCCCCCTCATACAGCATTTTGCCATGGGCGGCAAAATGGAAGAGGGGGAGAGGAGGTTCCAACCCCCTCCTCCTCCTCTTCCTCCTCTCCCCCCCCCCCCTCCCCGAAACAAAATCCTGGCTATGTGCCTGGCTCTGGATTTGTGGTGACGCCACTCACCAAGCACCTACTAAAGCAGGTGCCCCCAGCATGCAGGTACAGTGGCCCACGTGGCTTGGTTCCGTGGTGACGCTACTCACCAAGCACCTAACACCTAAGGAGCAGGCGCCCCCTGCGGGGATCGGGATCCGTGGAGACTCCACTCTCCAAACGCGTGCTTTCACAGTAAAATGTACCAGCCCCCTAGCCACAATCTCCAAAAAGAGGTTAGCAATTCTAATGCAATTAAATGCAAAGATGCAAGCGAGCTGGACAAGAATGACGGAAACAATTCCTGGAGAAGGGGAACAATTAAGAGGGACAAAGGACAAACACAAATCTCCAAACGCAACTAGGTGATTGGTGCGCAACCGAAAAAATTCGCCTTGTCCGGGCATTGAACCCGGGACCTCTCCATTGGAGGTTTGTGTTTGTCCTTTGTCCCTCTTAATTGTTCCACTTCTCCGGGGATTATTTTCGTCAGGTTAGCAATATTTATAAATAAATAAATGAATAAAAATAAGCAAGACGAAGCACAAGATGTCACTGACAAAACGGCAAGTTTACCAAAAGCAGAGAGCACAATGTCCCATCTCTGAAAAATCTCTGGGGTGTTGATGAGAATGTCGGCTGCTTTACAACAAGTAACACCATTGCCATTCCGTCATAGCCGCAAAGTACCAAAACATATTCACCCAGCCATCTCTTCTTGCTGTATGGCCACCGCACTCAAATTAGTCTGAGAAAATGCAGGTAGCAAGACATCTTTCCACGAAACTTCAAATCCATTCTGTTTGTCCTTTCTAAAAAAACACTCCCCCCATAAAAAAAATAAATAAATAAATAAATAAAATCTTTAAAGTTTTTTTAAGACTGAGCTCTACTGTTTTAGAGCGCAGCTCTTAGGCACCCGTTTCCGACTTGAGCGGCGGCGCCGTCGGCGTAACCGCACATTGCATTATGGGATGCTTTCCATAATGACGCCGTCACGAAGGTCACTTGAAGGTCATGACCTTTACAGTGAAGGTTGTGTGAATGTCACGTGAAGGTTGTGATCTTCACGTGAAGCTGGCAAGAGAGAGGAGGAGGGGGGGCATGCCCTCTTCTCTGTACCCTCCCCTCCTTCTTCTCAAGAGCTGCCCTTTAATTAGGCATTCCAGGGAGTTGCAAACGTCTCATTTTTTCTATACTTCGTTTACATTTAAGCTGACAATGCAAAGGAAGCTACGTGTTCGTAGGACCATACCCACAAGCAGAGAGCAGGGTTGGGTGATAAAAGGACAGCTGTTGATTGGTACGGCGAGTGCATAGCATGCACCGCATTGTCAGCTTAGGGATGCATGGTGTTCAGGTTTTAAAGATAACTTACAGAAAAAACAGACTTGCTTTCTTCATTTTTCAAAGAAGGAACTCTTTTGTAAATAGCGGAGGCCAATGGGGCAAAGAGGCAGCACACTAGTGCAACCCAGAATCACAAAACCCCCTATCTGACTAGAAATTCAGCTGTGATATTCTATAAAATATTATATAAAAGCGCCTGTAAATTTCTCGTTTCACGTGTTTATTATTTTTTTTACCTCACATTACTTGGCACATGAATAATGTTTGGTTGATATGTGGTTTTAAAACCGCTTTATTTTTTTTATGTAATGGTGGCCAGAGAGTGTAATATATTAGGGAGTTTTAGAATAGTGCACGCTAAAGCTTTGCGTACGCAAAGAATAGCGTCGTCACAACTGCGCATGCTCCGAACGCAAACCAGGTTTTGCACTTTGCGTGCGCAATTTTTGGCGTGCGCTATTTCTCGGAAATAGCGTGCGTACGCAAAGAGTCTTTGCGCTTCTCCAAAGAGGATTCATGGTGAGAAGTTGGCTAAAGCCAAAACGAGCAGAATTAAAAAAATGACAGCTTCCAGGCTTATGTCGGCGGCTGCTTTGGCGGCGTCGTGAGTGCGACGTCGGCGGCATCCTCGCGACTGCCATTTTCAATACGGGACGACATTGTTCTCGGTTTGGCAGCGATCACTGGCAACTTCATACATGCGATGCGCGAACATTTCTCAACGAAGGTACGATTTGCGAAGCTCAGTACACAAGACCTTCTAAGAGACCTCTCTTGCTGAGGCGACGCAAGCGGACACGACCGATCAACCGCTCGCGTCGCATTCTTATGTTTAAACAAATCTAAAATAGTACTTTTAACCAAAAAACTCGTTTTTTTCTAAAGTTACAGCATTTCGTGTGTGAAATAAAAAATGGTGACTGTATCTTGGTGGCGTCTCAAGCGCAAGCTGCTTGGGGCTTTCGCGTCGCGACGGTGAAACGCTATTCTAAAACTCTCTCGCGCCGCGTGTGCTAAATACAAGCGCTAAATTTAGCACTAGATTGTGCTAAAATTGCGTATGTTATTCTAGAACTCCCTATTATGACAAACTACTTTGCTAAATATGAGACTGTACATACAAAATGAAATGAACAAAATGTATCTTTTGACACTTGCAAACTCCAGAGGAGCAATAAAATCATGCCTGCTTAAACTGCGTGACATGCGCAACAATGCCATACAATACCTCTACTGTTCAGAGATTCGCCATGCGCTGATCGCTGTGCAGTGATGAGATCTGAAGCAAGCATGTACGCATTGATGTGAACATTGTCAGCTGTTGGCTCGTAGTCCTGAGCAAACTAAACAGACTTCTGGGGCATTTAATGCAAATTACAGCGATGGAAGTGGCATTTTACTTTTTGTAGCAGGTTTTGTAGCAAGCAAAATATTGGTTTGGAGCAGCCACTGACACTTTTGAAGCAGATCCTAAAACCTGTTTGCTCATCACTTGAAAACGAAAAAGAGATTGCGTCGCTAATTAGAAAACATAGCCTTCTTAGAAATAAGGCTCAGGTCACAGTAAGTTCTGTTTACAATTGGTATTTAAAATAATTGTTGCAAAATAAAGCATAGCACGACACTTCAGTTGAGATGAGCTTCTCCGCCTTCCCCCTTTTAGACTCGATTGCTTATTTAGCTCGTAAATATAATTCCCGTCAACGGCCAGCAAAAACCAGCATAGCTTCAAAGACGTCCATCAATAAAAATGTGTCCTCCCAAGTTCTCCGAACCTATGAAACTGAAGATTCCTATATCATAAACTGCAAAAATGACCATCCAGAAATATTATAAAAACCTAGTTTCCCTTTAAAAAGTGGCACTGAGCTTTACCGGCATTGTAACCAGAGTAGGGTCAAAGTTCACTGCCCTTTTGATTGACTGGTGCACAGGAACTAACTTGATTATCATATTTATTCAAATGAAGACCCACATGTTTTTCCCCTTTCTCAGCACAACTTTGAAAATTAGAGGTCAGCCCACAGTCAAGACCAAACAAAATCGCGCTAACCCAGGCACACACCCATGTCATCCGCTGCTCCTAGCACTGCGGTGCCAACTCGTGAAGTTCAACATGCAAGCACTGATGCAAGGCAGTGAAGCTCGATGCAACCGGCACAGGTGCCACGGTTTCTAATCAGTTATAGAGTGAATTGATGAATCAATCTGGCATGTTAAAAAATACATCTACTCGTATGAATGCGCATTCACCGTCTCGATCCACCTCTGTCTAGAGACTTGAATGCAATGCACTTCCCTAGCGCATTATGCCGTTTACACGACTGCATTGAATGTGAGAACTGGAGTCTATGTCACTAAGTCGCATTCGTGTAAAGGCGGCTATTGTCAGGCTATTTAGGCTATGTCGACGGTTACGTCACCTAAACCCTTTTTCTTTTTCTTTAGACAGCTGCTGATTGTAACAAATTCACACTGAAATTTTTACTCTTTACTCAAGTTCATCGTTTGGAAATTTGAAAATAAAAATGCACCATTTTTGGCCACCCCTGAACAGAATCATTACTCAACACGTTTAGACACTGATTCCTGGGGTACCTTCAAACAGCCAACGATCCCTTTGACTCAGGCGGTATACATCTGCTTCCGTAGACACGGCTAGAGGGTAAGGCAAAGCTCGCATGGAGCAGCGCGTGTAGTCCCGTGTGCAGCCTCTTCCGTGATGGTTTAGAAGCATTCGTAGGGTGGCAGTAGAAATTCCGCGTTTACCTTCCTGCCTTTCCTCACATAGGTCATGCGACTGGCCTGCGGCCTCGCCAGGAGATCTTGCGTAGTTGAACACGGTGGGCACAAAATCAGGGCGGTCCTTGAAGTTCGATGGCCGTCCTAGAATTGAGCACCACGTTATAACCGGGCAATGCTCGCCACAAGCTCACGAAGTGGTACCTGTGATGAAGTGCGCGCTGCAGATCCGGCAGTCCCCGGACGGCTCCCATAGCGAGCCGTCCGGGTGCACCCTCCTCACCGCAGCTACCCAAGCGTCTCTCTTCTCGGCATACATGAGTTTCGACGGAAATCTAAAAAACTTCGCAGTATCTTTGCCGTCAAGATTATTGGCCCAATCACAGGCAACGCAACGAGCTGACATTTTATCGCGAGCTTTTCAAGATTTCGACCTTATGGCTTGGCTTGGCACCATGGCTTGATCAGCTTGGCCCAACAAGCTTGGCTTGGACCGCTTGGCCCTTTTACCCTCTATGCTTTTACCCGCGCTTTTACCTTTGTATCGGTTGACCGCGGCGATCTCTGTATCGGGCAATCACAAACTAAAAAAACTATAGCAAAAGAAATTGACAAATTTTGAAGGAAGGGCCAAGCCAATCCAAAATGTCGAAACTCGGCCGACTTGGCCAGCTGTACCGCTGTCGTCGGCCCGCGTGTGTTTCGATCACTGGTTTCGGTTCATCGGTGAGTGCCTTCCTCATGAGCCATCGTGCGCGCCGCGCAAAACGAAGTCACCCGAGCGTTTCCGCGTTCATAGCTCTCAACTGTTTCATTTGCACGAATGTCTCGCCAGCCTCGCTGCTACAAACCACCAGAAGATCGCGTGTCGGTCGTGCGGGTCGTGCGGAGGCTGCGGAGTCTGGCCTCATGACGTCATACCACCCCCTAAAAATTATGCAATGCATGTGCTCTTTTTTTTTCACAGTCAATTTATTTTGGCAGTGTCTGCGTCGACCCGGTCTACGCAACGCCCAGCGTTGGGTAGACCCAGAATTGTGATTGGCTATTAAGAAAAAGTCACGTGTCTATATAAATTGAGTGAATTATTTTGTTAAGGTTATTTATATAAATTTTAAATTAGTAGAAATGAAATTATATTAGATATATGCAATGCATTCTGAGATAATTATTATGTGTAATGTCACGTGTTACATTTGATGAGGGGCGGGAGAATCCCTTCGGTTTCCCGCGTTTTGACCGTTGTTTACTTTCTTCGGCTCCTGGTGTTCCTGCAACCTTCGCAAGTCCACCTCTATTTGTTGTGAACCCTCGTTTCTGAGCGTTGATCTTCCCTTCTTGGTGTCTTGTTGATTTTTTTCACGTATTTATTTCTTTCGCGAGATTCCGATTGCCTTTGTATTTAGCCCAAAACTCGGGTGTACCACGTGCTTTGATATCTGGGGGTTCCGTGACTGGGACAACTGGGGTTTCTTGTGGAAAGACCTTCGGCATTTTCCTATTGAAACCAGACGTGGCTGTCGAGATTCAGTCGATTCGTTCTTTAGCGGCGATTAAGCGTCTGTTCGTCATGACTGCTGGATTGACGGTCATCCTCCCGAGGCAAAGCAGCCCGCGGTGGACGTGCCGAGGTTCTGCGGGAAAGAACAAGGATGCCCGGGAGACGAACACTTTCTGCAGGAACCACAAGGCAGGCCATGGTTTCATCGAACAGCCGGGAGTGGAGCGGGATGCTGAAGGATAGAGGCGCTCACTTCAGTGAGGTCAGTCGATATGGTGAAGTTTATTTCTTCATCTGTCATTTGATTACTGCAGCACACCACCCTCGTTCTGAAAATAAGGATGCAGGGGTAAACGTTTGGCAAGCAGAGGCAGTTTGTGTGCTATATAGATCAGCATGAAATATTTGCAGTGGTAGGCTCATAGGTTTAACCTCTTGTCCAGTTAAGACCATAACATGCTCTGCATGCTGACATTGTTATTATATCTTTCTTATGTTGACATCTATTATGCTTAAAATACTCTTTGTCGCATCCCTACAAAAGCCCCAACAGAAGGGTGGGCCAGGTAATGGGCGAAGTCGCATAATCACTTTCCCCAAGCCCTTAATCTAATGACTAACAAGCCTACCTTCACAATTTTGAGCTTGAACCACAGTTTGCTCTCGCAACAGTGGCCACGGGGCAACCGTTGCCAACTGCACCACCTTAAAGCCCCTTTACGTTTCAAAAGTAGTGCAAGGTGCGCCGATGCACAAGGTACGTGCTACGTGCAGCCCTTGGGAAGATCACGGCAGCACAGCGCAGCACTGAGCTAAATTTCAGACGCCATGTTCTTCCTAGAAGGTGGTGCGCAACGCAAGCCTCGAGCATTTCAACAAGAATGAATGGTGCCGCTTTTCCCAGGATAAGAGGGGCTTTACACCACCTACGAGCCATCGGAGCCAATCCAAGGCCCCGTGAGTGTTAAGGCTGATCCACACATACAGCGGAGCGCTCAGTTAGCGCTTCATGAGCGCTGGAAGCAGCGCTCGGTTGTCGCTTTAGCAACGCAGTGTAAGCGCGCTCCTTGTGCCGTGATTGCGGCTGCGAAACAGTGCATGCACGGCGATTCCATTGTTATTTTTTCTTTGGCACTGAAAGAAGAGGAAGTAAAAGAGCCGCCTTTCAAGCAAAGGGTCGGGCGGACGATTCAGAGTCATGGACTCTGAGCGACTAATTGATTGGGTACGACCTTATCACTTTCTATTCGACATACGTGATCCTGGTTTCAAAGACGCGCAATTAAAAAATAATCACCTTCGAAAGAGCTCTGTGTCTCGGTCCCTCGGCCTGGGAACGAGGTTCACCGGATACCCGTCGATATCTCGGTGGCGAAGGATTTCGCGCACTCAGAAGGCTCTTCTGGGCGTTAAGTCGTCCACACACATATGCACTAATTTTGTATGTAAGGGCATTTGTCGCGTTTCTATTTCAGCATCCCGCATGTCCGCCATGGTACGTACTGTTGATGCACACCCAACCACAGGAACCTGAACATCAGTACACATGCTAATCTGCAGCAATAACGGTCGTGCTAGGAGCGCTACTAAAACGCTGATTGCACGCTATATTAGAACTAAGTCACGCGCAAGGAAGCACCACATGAGCGCTCTTTGGAGCGCTCACATAGCGGTAACTTAACGCTCCTCTGTATGTGTGACCAGGCCTTTACTTGACCTTGAAGAGGGTGACATGCGTAGAGCATATTACGTGCTACGTTCGCAGAGCTGGGTTGACTGAGATGGCTCGGAGCATCCGCTGCGGTGGGACGTGATGTGAAACAGTATGTACACCTGTTGCAAAAATACACATTGATGCTATAGTTGTTGAAATAGGGGAAGTACTCTCACTGTCAGTGGACGATTTTGCAAATGTGGGTGCTTCCAGTAAGCACTGTAGAGAATGGACCCTTTTCCTCTCTTCTGGTTCGAGAGTACAAAATGCATGTGTTGCTAGGCTAGGTGGAAACAAGGCTGCCATTTTGCTTGAAGCAAGGGCACTGTGCGATTCCCAGTGGCAATGCCAAAGCGCTGTGTTGCATTCAGATGACGGGATCGGCACCGGCCGGGGGAGGGGACGAGTTTTTTTTTCGGTTTCCTTCCGAGAAATTGAATCTTGATGGAAGAGCGGCGTGAATTTGCACGGTTATGGTGTACTAGATTCTAGTACAGCATAGCACGGTGAAGGGGATTGACTTGTCAGGCCCTACAAAGGCTTGGGAGGCAAATGAGCGTACCCGACTACTGTAAGCAACTTAATTTTTCACAAATTTCTTGACTTAAAAATTGCTGCAAAAAACGCATCCCACCAATATATGGTAAAGAATATATAGCTCACCACTCCTCGCAAAATTTTCTGCGCATGAAATATTCTCCAAATTTGCGAAATATTGTGGCCGCAAAAATAAAGTTGTTCACAGTATGTGTGGCTAATTAGTCGTGGGTTAATAACATTAATGGCACTTTAGAAAAGCACTTCAGAAAGTTGCACAATTGTTACAATGATGCTTTATTAGACAAGAAAAGCATAGCTATAGACCCTTTCAGGCAACATTTCATGGGCGCCGGCATCTTGATGTCACGTGACCCTGCCGCCATAGCCGACCTTCAGCTTCTCGCCGTTCCCCCGCGTTGTGTGCTGCACAGGCCACTACCGGAGCTTTGCTTTCGTGTTCTTTCACATTCCGCGCTGAAATTGTGTGTCTTTTTGACGTTGAAATTGTGTCTTTTTAATATTTCGGGCTTTTGTTTAATCATTTGATATCTATATTTCAACACAGCTCTTGTATTTTCGTATTTATGAAATGGAATCGGACAGCGAATGGATCGACGATAAAAGATTATGGTTTCAGAGACCATATAAGTTCATCCCGTTCTAGCGTTTTTCTCGCTAATAAAGGGCAGTCTGTACCATTGCGACATATGCAAATTCCAACTGACGCAGTAAGGCTATCCAGTCGTGCTTCTCGCTGCATGTGCACACTTGTTTCCCTAAAGCCGACCCGCATGTAAGCGATTTAGCTTGCAACGAGACGACAAGGCACGCGGGGAGCGACGGAGATTACTTACTGTCACTTGTCGTGTTACTCGGTTTTTGGGTTTCTAGAAAACGCCGCTCACCGTCCTGGTCGCTTGCTCCGTCATATTTATGCGGTTTGCCTCGTCACGCGACTGACCCAGCGACAGCGAAGCGGGTCACCGTCACTTGTCTCGTTCTCGTTGCTCGCCGAATCACTTGCATACAGTTTATACTTAAAATCGAGGCGCCAATGGTTCAACGTTGTGTGCTTGTAAATTAATTGAGTATAAACCACATGTAAGCGCTTTGGCGAGCAACGGCAACCCGCTTCGCTGTCGCTCGGTCAGTCGCACGACGAGGCAAACTGCATGGAAGAGACGGCGAAGCAACCAAGACGGTGAGCGACGTTTTCTAGAAATCCCGAAAACTGAGTGATGCAACGGGCGACAGTGAGAAATCTCCATCGCTTGTCTCGTCGCACGCTAAATCGCTTACATGCAGGTCGGCTTTACGGAAACGAGCGCGCACATGCAGTGAGAAGCACGACTGCGATGGCCTTACTGCGTTAATTGAAATATAAGACTTCTGGAGTGGCGGTCTCCTGCTCTCTTCCATGCAACCGGGTGCCACCAAGTTAACAAATCGGCAGCCATCTTGCTCAGGGCAAAAAAAAGAGGCTGCGCTGATAGGGGTGCTAGCAGCATCTGTTGCTTTTGGGGCTGCGTATTACAACGAAAACAAAACAATTATTTTTTTGTTTTAAAGGACTCTAAAGCCGCTTAACGTTGGATTCTTTTTTCTCGGATATCTTGTTGCAAATAATCCACGCTGTGGTAATGAATACGTAGCGTCCCTCTCACAATTTCGGAAATTTGTGCACCTGACCGATCACCAAAACCGGCACTTTGAGAATTTACAGAAATATCAAGCTCGCAAAAATTTTTTATAATACTTGTTTTGCAGATGCATGGCTGTTATAAGCGCACCGTCTCGAGTTTTAGATGAAACTAGCTAAAATACAAAATAAGTGTTTACAGTCACTATGATACTCACTGCTTTCTGCAGGTATGCTGGAAATGAAGGAAACATAAACATAGTTGGAATGCTACCCGGTCGAAGTCTTCTCGCTTGACCGCTTGTGTCAAAGCAGTAATCTTAGAAGTGTGCCGAACAAGGGACTTCAGTATTCTTGCGCAACCAACCATCCCCCCGTCGAACAGCATGCTCCCTCGCAGCATGCAAAG